TCTCTCTCTCTCTCTCTCTCTCTCTCTCTCTCTCTCTCTCCTAAGGTAGGGTAACAACGAAAAAGTCCCAATTTTGTTGTTGTTTTTTTTTCCTAAACAAATTGAAACAATTTTTATGATTTTTTTTTCTGAGGTACCATTCCAGTTTGCAAAAAATCCGTGAAAATTAACTCAAGACACCACCGACAAAAAACCATTCCAAATATAAAAAATTCAACAGACAATAAATGTTTAGTATTATATCTGCTCTTTATTCTGTGAAAATTTCATGAAAATTGGATGAAAAATGGTGGAGTTATTCAGAAAAGTATAGAGAAAAGTTGCGTTTTGAGAAAACGGCCGGTAAAGAAAAATAGAATATTGACTTTATGAGGAAATAGTGGTGACAAACATGCCCGGTATGGGGAAAGTATGGTTTTGGTGGGTTCTTATGAGATGAAATAGTTGTAGGAGAGGCTGAGGAAGCTAAAAGTGCCTACAACTGAAATTCCATAATTTTGAGCTGAGTCGGGGCTTTGGGGGTGTAGCTCCAACCCCTTAAGCACAGCAGAATTGTAAATGGGCTGATTTATCAAAGTCATGCTCAAACTGTGCCGGAACAACATAGGGGTAATTGCTGCTTTTTCTTCCTTAATTCTGACTATCGTCATTTTTCGTATACTTCTTTTGTGTGTTTGTCATTCTCTTTTGAACTGCTTTTTCCGGGGTGCCTTGATAGTCGAAGCAGACTTTGTGCTGTTGAGCCTAGAGAGGTGAGCAGAGTAACCCTGATTCCCTGTTAGGACTTCTTTGTTGACATCCACCCACTGGTGCTCATATGACCTTATCCATTGCGAGTGCCGTAAAACCTTCCTAGAACTAAAGAGCTTGAACTTGAAGTCCAAAGCCTTTATGTCGAGTCAAGCATTTCAGAAACCCACATGTGTCGCTTTCTTCAACCGTTCTCATCAGTGAGGGCCGACTGGGTATCTTTCATGACTTCTTTATTTGATTTCTTTTCTATCCATGAAATTCACAAAAGTCTTCCTGAAACCACAGTACTGCTGCAGATCAGTATACTACACTTTGCCTTTTGACATCTTTATTTCAGTAGTAGTAGTCATAGAAACGTTTCTGTGTTTCAGGATTGGACTCATTTTATAGAAGCTGTCTTTAGTTTTTGCATATCTTCGTTTTATTTCTGTATCTACTTGAGTGATTTCTTCCCTGTGGTCTGTCCATCCTCATTTCTATACCTCCTCGTTTAATTAATTCTTTCTGTTGATTTGTCCATCCTCATTTCTATACCTCCTCGTTCCATCAATTAATTCCTCCCTGTGATCTGTCCATCCAACAGTAAACCTGAGCACACCCTAACCGTGTGACGTCATGAAGATCCCGTACCAGATGGAGAAAAATCCGGGGCCAGCACGCGCCAGGTTTAGGCGAGAAGAAGAGAGCAACAGGTGTGTGCGGTGTGTGTCCAGTCTGGGACTCAAGACTGGCATCGGCGTGTTTGTGGCGGTGGTCATCTTGTCCTTTGGCCTGTCTGCCTGGAACCTCGCGTGAGTTCTGCTGGTTGGTGGGTGGTTGGTGGGTGCTCTGGTGTGGTTTGCTCTTTCCTATCAAACATCTATCGTCTTTATCTTCCCTCCCTTTTGTGTTTGTTACTCTCTTGTAACACATCTAAGCGCCTAGAGCTGTGTTTACACGGGAGTGGGCGCTATAGAAATGATCTTCATTATTATTATTATTATTATCTAATCTTCGACATTTATATGACCTTATTGTGTTTCAAGTGCCGTAAAACTCTTACTAAAACTAAACTTAACTCTTCTGGTTGCAGGGACTCTGTCTTTACGCCCACATCCACCCATTTTATATTATTTAGGAGGCGGGCTACAAATCTTGGCTTTCAGGAACAACCCGGGCTGAGAGGGATTCAACTTCTCCGCAGAAACACTGAGATACTCGATAACAATTTCTTTCCACTCGAGAATTGAACTTGGGTTTCTTGAGTGCGATAGAGTTAGAAACAGTCATCTACCTCACAATTACAACGTTCTATCTAACATTTTTTGTTGTTGCCGTTTTGAGTTACTAAGACTAAGAGGTCAGAAACAAAAATGTTCTATCTGCTTTATTGAAAGTCGTAAGAGAGTCTTTATCAAGATGTACAAAGAATTGCATTCGAAAAAGCTTGACATGTGAAACATTGTTTTTTTTACGTCAAAATTCTCAATACTAGGTACTGAGCAGATAGAACTTCGTAATTCTAGGGTAGCGGTTTATCCAGGAATTTGGCAGTTTTGTTGATTCAAATACAGGAATAAGATGTTGAACTACTGAATTGTCTCGTTATTTGAAAACAATGTAATTATACTATATGTATGTATATACAAACACACACACACACACACACACACACAC